TCAGGAAAATGGTAGGGAATGATTGGGAATTTCACCATGTAGCGACTTTAGGAACTTCAGGTGGAATCCTAGCACTGTGGAAATATTGAACAACTTCGTTCAAGATCATTGATTCCTCTAAACAATGTATTATAGACAAACTTATAACTCCCAAAGGTCAAAGTCTGTATTGTCTATGGCAACAAAAACCTGTATGAAAGAAGAAAACTTTGGAAATTGATAGAAGGCAAAATGAACTGTGAAGAGCCGTGTATAGTTGGAGGTGACTTCAACTGTCTTTTGAACATCAATGAGAAATTAGGAGGGAAAAATTTTGTTTTCTCTCAGCCCCGCAAGAAATGAAGGATTTCATGACCAATAATGATTACCATGACATTGGTTTTAATGGTCCCAACTACACATGGTGCAACAACAAAGAAGGCCTTGCAAGAATTTGGGAGAGGTTAGACATAATTTGGTTAAATTCTAAAGCTAATATGGAATTCTCTAATGCAGTTGTCAAGCATCTTCCTAGAATATCTTCAGACCACTGTCTAGTTCTTCTCCAAATTAATAATAAAAAAGGCATAACAATAGAGAAATCAGATTTGAGAACATGTGGTGTTCGTACGAGGCAGCTAAAGGCATCATAGCTAAATCATGGAGGAAAAATGACTTTGGCAGTGCAAATGAAATTCTGCAAAGGGAAATCAAAAGGTCTATTAAAAACCTTTTTTTCCAGAGTAAAAACAAGTTAAAGGAACCGAACTTGAAGAATCAAACTCTTAAGAATGATATATTGCAGTTGAAAAATAGAGAAGCTAGGAAGGAGGTTTGAGCCAGGAGAACCTTATTATCCTAAGAAGTAAGGTTATTGAATTTAATTTAAATATGGCTAGAATTTCTACATGGTGGAGACAAAGATCAAAGTGCCAGTGGATGGAAGAAGGTGCAAAGAACACTAGATATTACCACACTTATGCAACAGCTAAGAAGAGAAGCAACCAAATATTGCAAATTGCTCGGGAGGATGGATCGTTGGAATCAAATCAAGAATCTATCCATGAGATTATGGAGAATTTCTTCTCAAACAAATGGAGCAAACGTAAATGTAATATGAAGGATTGGCCAAATTTCAAAAGTTCTGAATGCATTTAGGAAGACATGGTCAAAATTCTGAAAGCTGATTTCACCAAAGAAGAATTGAAAGTGACGTTAAATAGTATGTGCAATAATAAATCCGCTGGAGCTGATGATGCTAATGCATGTTTTTTCAAGAACTATTGGAATATTGTTGAAGAAACTACCTGGAATGCTATTGATGATTTTTTTCAGAATAGGAAGGATGCGCGAGCAATGGAAGGAGACTGGTTGTTCTGATTCCGAAAATTCAAAATGCTAAAGAATATTCCAAGTTCAGACCAATTTTCTTCTGCCAAATGGTCTATAAGTTGGCAGCAGGTATGATCCTTAATAGATTTAAAAACTGCCTTCCTAGAGTCATATCAGAATACTAAGGAGAATTTCGGATAATTGCCTCATTGCGCAGGAGATCATAAGCAAAATGAAATCCTCTGTGGCTAAGCCTGGATATTTTCTATTGAAGCTTGACATGGAGCAAGCCTATGATAGTATGTGTTGGGAAACTCTAAACCAAGTTTTGAAGCTTATAGTTTTTCCTGAGAGAATGATACAATTGATTCTGCAATGTGTCTCAAATCCAAAATTCTCTATAGTGATTAATGGCAGAAGAACTAAAAGAATCAATGCTCAAAGCGGTTTCAGACAGGGTTGTCCTCTGTACCGAGTTTATTTATATTATGCTCTAATCTCCTATCAAAAGCTCTCCATGGAAATAATGTTTAACTGGGGATAAGATTAGCCACGAATGTAGAAAAGATAACACATTTGCTATTTGCGGATGATGTTCTGGTTGTATCAGAAGCCTACAGTAAAAATGTGAGAACTTTGAAGAAAATTCTCAAAAACTACTGTGGTTGGACTGGTCAAGCTATCAACTCCCAGAAATCTATGATTCTATATGGCAAAAAAGTCACCAAAAAGAGAAGAAGCAAACTTAACAAAATTATGGGATTTAAAGAAGTCAAGGAACTTAACTACTTGGGTATCAAATTGGCTTTAAGAAGAATGAAGGCCGAAGACTACAACATCACCATTGATAAAGCTATGAGTAGACTTAACTCTTGGGGAGCAAGATGGTTGTCATTGGCTGGTAGAATCCTACTCATTAAAACAACTTAATCGAACATGATCTCTTATCAGGTAGCTCACTCTCTCATTCCTAAAAGCATTTTGATGAAAGTTGACAAAATATGTAGGAATTTCTTATGGCACAAAGAAAATGGCAAACAAGGAGTGCATTACATTGCTTGGACTACTCTTTGCCTACCCACCAGCTTAGGGGGGTTCGGCATCCATGGAGCTTTGGAAAGACAGGGTCCTTTAAGATCGAGAATGGCGTGGATGTTTTTACAGAACAAGAATTCTCAGTTTAATAAAATTCTCAACATAAAATATGGGAAGAATGAATGAAGAGAGGGTCTTCAACTGCTTGGAAGATCATCAAAGATGGAATCAATTATCTTAAACCAATTGTTAGATGGAAAGTAAACAATGGTTATAGTATAAATATTATTGTTGACAATTGGATTTTAGATAGATGCCTTAACAATTGGTCTGCAATGCACTATGGATATTTCTGATAAAAAAGTGTCTTTCCTCATGGATCACGGTGGTAACTGGAATTTAGAGAAGTTGTCTAAATTCTTCTCTAAAGATATGATAAATATTATACAGCAAATGAAGAAAGGGGACAATAGCAGAGAAGGCAAGATTGAATTGATCTGTACCAATACTGGAAAAAATATATTAGCATTATGTTCTGAAGCTAATAGTTTAAATCTTGACAGTAAGTTCAACAAGCATACTTGGCTGAAAAAACTCAAACTGAACCAAAGAGCTTATCTTTTCTGGTGGAGAGTGTTGAATGATGCATTGCCAACTAATGACTTGTTATATCATAGAAGACTTACTAACACCTCTGTTTGTCCTAGAGGTTGTCAAGATATTGAAGATATAGAACATATTACCACAAAGTGCAGCAAATTGATTGAAATAATACATAAACTGAGACTATGGGGATTCACTGTCCCTTCTTTTCAAAATCTCAATGATTGTATTAAAGAAATTAAACATAAGACTGACAATGGCCTTGCTAAGACTTACGCAATGACTGTTTATTTCAGTTAGAGATCAAGGAACATGGTCAAACATGGAAATTCAGAACTTCCCATTGCTTACACAGTAGAAGAAATTATTTCTCACGTTTCTTACCTTTAGTCAGCTCCAATCGAGAAGAACTGGAACACCAACCAGCATTTGCTGTCCAAATCTTGGTGTACCCCTCCCGAAGGTTAGGTGAAGCTGAATGTAGATGCTGCACTTTCTAAAAATAATATGCCTGGAATAGCAGGATTACTAAGAGATTGCAAAGGTAGAGTGATATGGCTTATGGTAGAAATTTGCTTCATTGGGACATTGCATATCTAAAACTCAAAGGAATTCTTTCATTTGAAAACTATATTCAAGATTGGTTTTGTGAATACAAAGGAATAATCATTGAAGGAGACAATGTGAATATCATAAAGATGCTCCAAGACTCAATTAACATGAAGACCAATAAAGGTATGAAGCCGGACCTCTCATTCTTACAAGTATTCAATAATATCATTTCTCTATTTTCTCCTAGAGAATATAATAAAATGGCTGATTTTTGTGCCAAACTTGCTTTGTTAGGGAACTTTTTTTGGGACTCTTTTGTTGAAACAAAACTTCCAACAAGTTTTGTACACTTGTTTAGGAAGGATTGTCATAGAGTTGTCCTTTAGCTGACATTGTAATTTCTCTTGTTTTCTCTAATGCAAAGTGCATTCTTTATTCAAAAAAAAAAAAAAAAAAAAAAAAAAAAAAAAGTGCATTCTTTATTCAAAAAAAAAAAAAAAAAAAAGAAAGAAAGAAAGAAAGAAAGAAAGAAGCAAACAGGGCTTGCGAGGCTTGCTGGATTTCAAACATGGAAGAAGAGAAAAATAGCAAAAACGAAGACTTCGTTTCATCCTTGGCTTAATAGCAAGCGTGGGCGCGATCGATGAGCTACATGTTTTGCGAAGGATTTGACGCGAGCTGCACCAAATGCACAAGAATTTCGGCGGGATTTCAGCAAGGTTCACGGAGGCTTTCGGCAGGATATGAGGTTTTTTTTACCTACTGTAGGGGTCAATAGAGATGTACTCTTAATGAAAAATGAGAAAGAAAATTGCCCAACCCTCCTCGCAGAGCCAAGCTTAGAGTACCTAACACTAAACTCTTTGTCTTCAATCTGCCTGACAGTGCCGCAGTGCTGCTTGGCAGCACTATAGTGTCAGAGTTTGGAGGGTCGCAGCTCTCGACTCTCTGCCTGTCTCTAAGTAAACTATACAATATCGTAGCGCTTGGGTACACAATACTGTAGCGTTGCATAGCTGTAGATGTACATAAAAAAATTATTCATGTGCAAAGCACCAAAACCCAAATAGGGAGAGAACCCCCTACAACTCCCCAAATAGATTGAAAGATGGAATTGAGGTCCAAAACAACTGTGCAATTCGATTGATCGATACAATCATATTCTACATAAAACTAACAAGATCAATCTGGATCAAAATTTACTTAGTATAGCTAAACTAATTTTTTTCTTATATCATAACACCCTTGACCTATTGCAGGGGCAGCGGCCCAAATTATTCGAGTTCACCTACAAAGGAAGATAATATTAAATCTATAAATTGCAATGAAGTTGAATGAAATGGAGTTTTTTTCCATTCATTACCCTTATATGTTGTGTATTCTCGTTAAGTATAAATTTAAGTTTAGTCGACGAAAAAAAAAGAAAAAAACGGAATGATTGATAGGAATTAAGCAAAAATTCCACATCCAACGTGCCTTCACATTGGAATTTAAAAAGAATGCTGGTTGATTTCAACCACTGCGTCTTCAACTTCGCCGAGTGCAGATATAAGTCGTGCTTCTTCTTCCTTTATCAGACTTCTGCTCCTCCCAAACCAGACATCTGCGCCTTCTTGTTCATGGAGCCATTTCATTTCAATTTTTCTGTCTTCCTCCTACTTGTTGCATTGCTCTTTTTCAAATTTTTCTTGGTTAAATGCAATGCTCTTGGCCAATGCCTTCAAAAAGAGAGCTTTGCACTTCTCCAGCTCAAACGAGGCTTTACCTTTGGTAAGCTTGAGACATGGCAGCCAGGGACGGATTGCTGCAAGTGGGATGGTGTGACATGCGATGAATTGGGACGGGTCACTAACCTCGACCTAAGCAATCGGTCCATCTCAGGTAAGATTAATCATAGCCTCTTCAATCTCACATCTTTACGTGCTCTCAATTTTGCCAACAATTGGTTTGAAAATATGCCAATTCCGGATTTTGGTTGGGACAAGCTTACAAATCTTTCAAGCCTAAATCTTTCCTATTCTGGATTTGTTGGGAAGGTTCCCGCTAGTATCTCTCGCTTAAGGAAATTGACTTCCATTGATCTCTCCTTAAATTTTGGGTTGTTTCTCACTGCTAAGCCAACATTTTTGCGAAACATGAGTAGTTTGAGAGAACTTTTTGTTGACCTTGTAGATATCTCAGCATACAGGGATGAATGGTGTGGTGCTTTGGTAAATTCCACCCCTGTTCTTGAGGCATTACATATGCAAGGTTGTTCTCTCTTTGGTGCAAGTTGTTCATCTCTCTCCAAGCTCCCTTTTTTATCTATTATCTGGTTTGGAGACAATACTTTGGACTCTAGTATCCTAGATTCATTTGTCAATTTTACTTCTTTAACTGAGCTTGAAGTCCAAGAAAATGGATTCAAAGGAGTTTTTCCCAACAAAATATTTCTGCTAAGAAATTTAAGACATCTTGACATCTCAAATAATCCAATGCTTTCTGGTTATCTTCCAAAATTTTTAGAGGATAGCAATTTAGAAATTTTGGCACTTTCTAGTACTAATTTCTCTGGAAATTTACCTGATACAATAGGCAACCTCAAATTTTTGATAGATTTAGATCTCTCAAGTTGCCAATTCTCTGGAACAATACCACCTTCGTTGGGGAATCTATCACTACTATCTAGTCTGTATCTATCGAATAACAATAAACTACATGGTCAAGTTCCAAGGCCCATATTTCAAATATCAGGGCTTATTTTACTTTCACTTGCTTCAAATAATTTCAGTGGAGTTTTGGAGTTGGAATTCATCAAGAATCTAAAGAAACTCTTGTATTTGGACCTCTCAAATAGTGGTTTTTCTTTAAGTATATGGGATGCAGATAATGGATCTTTATCGTCTTCCTTTCCCAATGTGATGTTTTTGGGACTATCTGGTTGCAATCTGACTAAGATCCCTGCATTCATAAGACATCAACATCAAATGCATAGCTTAGACCTTTCAAATAATAGAATTCAAGGGCAAATACCAAGCTGGTTATGGAGCATTGTTGAACAAGCTAACTTCTTAAATGTAGATTGGTTCATTTCTCTTGCAAACAATAATTTGATTGGAGAAATATCACCATTAATCTGCAACTTGTCCAGACTTTGGCTACTTGATTTGTCTATGAATAGGCTAACTGGTTCTATTCCACCATGTTTATTTGAAGATAAAATTAATCTCCACGTACTAAATCTTAGAGGAAACCTCCTTCATGGAGCCATCCCTTATGGAATGAGTTCAAAATGTACTCTACAAAATATAATTCTTAGAGACAACCAGTTGGAGGGATCACTTCCTCGGTCATTGCCCAATTGTCAATCACTTGAGATTCTAGACTTGGGGAACAATAAATTGAATGACACATTTCCTTATTGGTTGGGGAATATGTCCTCTCTAAGAGTACTTGTTTTAAGATCTAACAAGTTTCATGGGCTAGTTGGGCCTCTTTATGGAAATCATCAAATAAATTATTCATTCTCTATGCTACATGTATTGGACATCTCATCCAACAACTTTAGTGGCAAATTAGATGGAGAGTGCTTCACTAATCTTAAGTCAATTATGGTAAATATATCAGATGCAACACAAAATTTTGCTTATAATTTGATGGGTGAATACTATGATTTGGATGTGCTCACTATCATGAACAAGGGGCAACTAATGACATTGCAAAAGTTTTGGAAAATCTTCATGTCAATAGATTTTTCAAACAATTATTTTGAAGGAGAGATCCCACTCGCCATTGGTCAACTTGTCTCTCTCCAAGTGCTCAACTTGTCATATAACCGTTTAGCAGGCAAAATTCCCCCTCAACTAGGGAATTTGCCACAACTCGAGTCATTGGATCTCTCAATGAATAACATTTCTGGTAAGATCCCACATGAATTAGTTTCTTTGCATTTCTTATCATATTTAAACCTCTCCTATAACAACTTGGTAGGAAAAATTCCATTAGAAGGTCAATTCTGCACTTTCTCAAAAACTTCATTTGAAGGAAATGAGGGACTGTGCTGGTCTCCTTGTAACACATTAGTTCCAAAGGTGAGCAATAAAGTTAAATCTCCTCTAGATTTGGGTGGCATAAATCATAAGAATAAAATTTATATGATTGTGTTGGGGATATTATTTGGTGTGGGATTTGGAGGGTGTATGG